ACATAATTAAATTGTTAAAGCCTCGGTCAACATGGTTTCAAATGTTTAATTTTTTGTTTTATTAGTAAAGATATGCCTCTTAAAAAGCATTATATATACATAGTAAATACAATTTTATGGTAGATAAATGCTCCAAAATTTCTGAGGTTCTGTTTGTTCAGAACTTTGTGGACATGTCAGAACATAAAAGCCATGTGCTTTTGTTGATGTTTTAGTCTTTGTCTCCTCCCTGGTCCTGTCTTCTTGATATCTGTCCCACCTGTCTGTTGTCTGAAGCCCTGCCCTCTCATTAGTCCCAGGTTTTTCTGCTCTGTTCCATGTGTATTTATACCCCTGCTTGAGGGCTTGGTGTTTTGTTCTCTCAGGCCCTGTTTTGGTTATCTCCCATTTGTTTTCTGGTATTTTTCATGGCTGGTTGTTTTGGATAGCAAATAAAATGGCTGTAAAAGGGTTCTCTACCATGAACAATTTCACATTAAAAGACTCTGAATTACACCTCAGTAACTGAATGTTACAGATATTTTGAAAAATCATTGGAGTTTCTATTTTAATTTCATTTTCTTTTTTTTTTTGTTGGTACCTCCTTCTCCTGTCAACCTACATGGTATAACATCTATATTCAACACTATGTTATGTTTTGTTGGGTCATGTTTAGGATGACCATATTTTGGTTTTCAGAAAAGAGGACACTGGGGTTAGAAAGGCAGCTCTGAGCAGACTGTATAAAGTAAATGTCAACATGAAAGCAAAGCCAATCCTGGACATTTTAGGTAATTTAGAAATCTTGGCCGGATATGGTTTTTAGGTCCCATAAAGAGGACATGTCTTGTAAAAAGAGGCCCTATGGTCATCCTGGTCATGCTAGTATGTGTGTTAAAATATATATACTTTCCACTTAAAAGATTTGACTGCCATTTTATTAATATATTTCAGCTCCCATTCACATCATTATCTCAAGTGAAGGGTGGATGTGAGTCAGGCAGGCAGTAAGCCTGCCCAGCATTAAACATTCATGAATACGACAATGTGTGATGGAGCTTTCACACACAGTCATGTCTTGAAGCCCTTTTAGTGAAAGTCAATAATTAGATCAATAGCTCTTAACTTTAAAGTACGTCTGCCATCCTACAGGTGAAATGAGAAGAAAAAAGGCTTTCTGGTGAAAAAAAAGCAGTGCTGGAACAACCTGTGAGGTTGTCTTTGTCTTTGAAGGATGAGTCTTTAAAGCTATGGCTTAGCATGCTGTTAGCAATAAAATGGACAAAAAGTACATTGTGTTGCTAAAAACAGCCATCTTGAGTTTTGTCTGTACTTTTTAACAGATAACTGTATGTTATACAGTGCCAGAAACAAATGTTTTTTAAATCAATAATAATGTGCTTTGAGGTGTGTGTTGATTTAGACATCCAGTGCTAGTGATTTAAGCTAACAAGTATTGGAAGCTTAAATCACTAGCACTGGATACTTGTTAGCTACATTAGCCTCCTAGTTTTAGTGTGGAAAACTAAAAAAATACAAAACTGGTTGACGACACTTGTTTATGAGGGGAACATGTATGCAAACTTGATATTTGGCCGAGACACCACTCTGAGAGAAAATACCACCAGTAATTCAGACACCCAACAGTCTGAATAATGTACATCACGGATCTAAACTCATCATGCATTTTTTTCTAGACCTGCAAAGCTCAAAAGCTGATCTGACATCTGACTTTGAGATGATGTTACAGGAATGAATATTTATTGGTTTCTAGTAAAGGGCCCATCGTGTCACTTTTTGCATTGCCATGGTACTCATGGATGTAAAGTCCCTCTTCACTCCATGCTACATCTGATCACGCATAAGATGGTGGAATATGCTCTGTGAGGACAAGTCAGTTCTGGCCGCTGGGTAATGACGCTGGATGTCTAGCATACCAAGATTAATCCTCCTGGAAATCCCTGAAAACGCACCTTTTTGAATAGTGGGTTCAAAAACTGAGAAAAAAAGTGGGAAAATATTCTCTCAAGTAAACACTGCCATCTTCTGGATAATAACTGCCACAGCATGTAATGAATGAATGTAATGAATAATGTAATAAATGAATGAATAAAATTCACCTCTGACATGTTTATTTGGGCTTCCATAGGAATGTTTACAAAAATGTTTAGATATTCTAAAACAAGAAAATAGTTTTGTATTTGTCTGTTACATTTTTTGCCTCTATATATTGCAATTATTTGTCTGATTGTTCAATGCTGAAAAAGTGAACAAATATCATAATCATAATTACAATAACTACTACTTTACAAAGTAAAAATATAAGTGATTGTAATCTGTACTTTTTGTATATGTATTTCTCTTGTTTCTCTACAAACATTTTTTTTTTAAATGATGTGTTTCTAAGCATCTGGACAAGACAGTGAAACACAATAAAACAACATTCACAACATTGAAAGTGGTGCTTGGATTGAAATATGAGTTTATCATTACTGAACAAGCAAGAGCTGGGGGACGTCATCTGGGGTAATACATTTTAGTCAGGGAGTGTTAATCAGAATATGACCAGAAAAATAAATATTACAAGAAAATAAATATGGAACAAAACATCTAAAATGACGTCCTCACATAAGCTAATTTTCAAAATATTTTCTCTTTTTAAATAGAAAACAACAAAGACAACTGAAAATTTTCCAACAATATTTACAAACCTCACAAATAATCAATTTTGCAAGTAAATAAACATTTGTTCAGCATTTCTTGGTTTTTGGCCGTTACACCATTTGATATTTTAAGGCTAATTAAGTCTTAAGATTTTTATGAAAAACTATAAATCTTATTTAGAAACATATAAATCCAACATAATTGAATTCATGCTAATCCAGCACGTGTATTTAAATCAGTTTTTGGCCACCATGGCCATCCTTATTGTCACTGACCCATATATATTATGTACATCTATGCGCAGTACAGTATGCAGTGACTGTATAGGAGTTCGAGTCAGTTATTACAATTATTATAACACCAAACAGTACTTTTATGAGCAACATGAGGGTGAATCTCATTCCCAGGCGGTTTTTCTCCTTTTCTGCTTGATAAATATCCTTAAATAAGATAAACAGGAAAAAATAGGAACTATCCTTGCTTTTTTCCCCAGAACTGAACATTCGCGGAATTCAAACATTTCAGATAACTAACAAAATAAAATACACAGGATTAGAACGAAATAATATTGGAAAAGCTCATAAGAATTACTGAATATCTGTCAAGTTAATTAATAATTTTGTTAATAAAAAGAGATTTTTTTAAGGCTACATTTTCTTCAGAATAACCTTGTAGTGCAGCGCCACTCAGCACCACTTCCTCAACGCTGAGCCTGCCTCTGATTGGCTGCTTGGCTCATGTCTGTAGCCCTGCCCCTCTGTGTTGATGCCCGCCCCGGTGTGAGTGCAGCTCCTCCCCCTGGCTCCGCTCCCGCTGCCCCTGCTGCACTCCGCGCTCCAGCGGAGATATCTCCTCCCCGCCCGGCCCGGCCGCTACTGCAGCAAATGAGGCTCCACCGCCTCTCAGCCGCCGTCCCAGCCGTCCCAGCCCCACACAGCAGCGTCCGGCCTGAGCACCGCCGTGCAGGGGTAAGTCTGAGTGTGTGAGCCTTTTGAAAGCTGCTGACTGCCTCTGATTCTGAGGAGTCACGTGTATTTTATTGCACAGGCTGGTGCCACAGCAGGGACAGTGTTTGTTTCCTGCTTTCTGCAGGCACGCGCGCTCTGAACATGTGTGGTCATTTTGATACATGGCTTCTCATCAGCTGTCGGGGTTGTTTCTGTGTTTTTTTTCCTGCCCTGAGCTCACATCCGTACTAATCTCCATCCACATGAGGGATTGTCCAACAGGCGGGGAAAAAAAGACGCAGGAAATAACAGTCATATGACAGTCAAAGGGCAGGGCAGCAGCATGAGAGGCAGGACTAACATGGTGTTGAATGTGCAAATCCAGCAGGGGGAAAGGATCCAAATCAGTGCATGTGTGTCAGCAGTACAGTTAATATTTCATGCTTACTTGTGTTCACAAGATGACTTGGCAGCAGAAACAGTCTAGGCTTGTTATATAAGTCAAGTAATGTCTATGTCTCTTGCAGCTTAAACAGCCCACCTTGTACTGATAAGCTCCAGTTTGAAGATTGTCTTCAGCTTGAGACCACTCCTGTTTTTAGTAGTGCTGGTTTGAAGAAAACAATCTTTGTGTTTGGTCTGCAGATCCAGAGTGGAGTGGACACAGGGTGAGGTCAAGATAAAGGATTGACCGAACTGTGGAATAAGGAGAACGAGCTGAAATGTACTCCCCTCAGAGTCTGCACCGCTGGGGCATCACACACAGTGAGAGCATGGAGCGCCTGGCCTACTGTCAGGGTAAGATACAGCGGCCTGTACCACTGTGTTGTGGTCTGCTCTGAGTTAAAGGGGGGTGTTTTACAAAGCAGGATTTCTCAGTTTAGCTGGATTATGTCAGCCTGATGTGCAGACTGTCCAATAGAAGCGGCACCCTCAGAGGTTGAGCCAGTGTAATGTAATTTAATTATAATCTAATCGTGGACTAAAGTTTACAGTTAAAATGGATTGTTCGGTTATGTGCATCTTCCCCTTTTGGCTTTGATTTTAGACTTAAGTTATCTGGATAAATGATAAATCCCGTTTTATGAAATACCCCCAGATATAGGATCACTTTGGTCAAAAAGTTACAGAGATGCAAGCAAAGATCCACCATTGAACAGATCATGCAGTAGGCTGGTCTTTGTCAGGGTGAGCGACCACATAGGCTATATTCACTTTATGGATAAGATAAGATTTAGGAAAAGGGCATCTTGTCCACTAAATTGCAGATAATATGCTGATTCTCACACATTATATCTGCACTACCCAGTGTGGCCCACCAGAGGAGTCTTTAAATCTTTTTCTCCTCAGAGAAAATTTAATTGTATTTACATTGTAATTCTTCATGCCGCCGGCAGAGGGCGGCGAACTGCCAGTGTATTTTCTATGACGTTAGCGTGGAGCCGCTGTAAACAAACCCGCGATGTGGCGCTTTATTCCGAGCGCCCACATTTAACCTCCTGCTTAAATGTACACACGTTGCGGTTTTAACGGGTTTTGGCCGACAGTAATAAGCGTTTTTCGGTAGTAATTACGCGTCCGTACAGTTCATTCTGCAGCCGCCACCTCCGCCGTCGTCCGGGATGTCCACGTCGGTTGTTGTCAGGTGAAAGTCTGTCTGTCTGTGGGAGAGATTCGCTTTTCCTTTCCGCCATGGCCACACCTGCGGAGCCGGAGATGAGCCTGGCCGAGGCGGAGGGCAGTAAGGAGAAGCCGCATGTGTTCGGCATCCTGCGGCTGCAGGAGGAGAAGGGTGGCGGGGAGAAGGCCGGTGTGAAGCCCGGAGACGGGAGGTGGCAAGCGCCCATATTCGCTTTAGCTCGGAAAGCGTCAGAGACCATCTCTGGGGGCATCCATGGTCTCCCCAAGGCCGCCGAGCCGAAAGCCTCCCCGTTTCCACCACACGAGTGGAGCGGTACGGGTAAGAGCTGAGGTTTCTCCTCGATAAAGCACAAGAGCTCAGTGCTGGTGGTCGGAGGAGGATAACGATAGCGGACCCGTTACTGACAGGGGGCTGCTGCTAGGTTAGCTAACCTAACTTCTCGTTTCTGAGAGACAGATTTAGGCTGCTAAGACCCGTTAAGGCATTTCCGTTAATATTGTTAATAAAGCTTTAGTAACGCTGAACTGATAATATTCCACCGTGCTGTTTCAAACACTGCCGTTTGGGCTGTTTTGGGATCGAAGTCCAAAAGCTGAGAGGAGAAACGTTTCTAAATTAACGTTGACGAGTATTGATCAGTCATCAGCACCGCGTAGCATCTCATATTTTTATTGCTGTTGTTGTTGTGATGGAATATTTGTGTAGGCTATGCAGCCGTCAAAACCCGATTGTGCGACTAAAACGTTTCAGCTTCTGTTTCACTTCACTATCTCTGGATGAACATGGAGAATCAAACCCGTGTTCTCCAGCAAAGAAACCCACGCAGCTCTCTCTGATGGGAGCTCGGCTGAGGGGACAGGGGGCTTCACTGTGGGGACTCCTATGCTGTTCTGTTATTCTCCAGTTAGTATGATGTCATCGCTTAACTGCGAACAATAAAGGTGAAAACAGCAGCATTATGGACTATTTTTGCACTAGAAACGTGTCAGATGGGCTAAATTAGATCTTTAGTAATACGATAAATTGTCTTACGGGCCACAGCGTGGTGAGTGTTGTAACCACTGGGGCAACAGCTGGACACAGCGCTATTGATGCCCCCCTCCCAACTCTGTGAAGACGTCACCTACATTCATTAATACATGTGATGTTCTCAAAAGTGATTTCTGCATGTTGATGGCAGTTGGCAGTTTCTTCAGTGGCCTGACAGAGGTGTTATTTCTCATTGCAGGAGAACTAAACTAAATAGACTTCACACATCCAGCTACATTTCACATGTGGTGATCAAATCAAATCTTATACTGTCAGTGAAGTACTCTGGCTCTTCTGTCCGGGTTAGACAAGACAATTTAGTAGTTAATGGGAAGTTAAATATATTTTTTTTCGATTAATGGTGTGATGTGAAATCTGCCAATCTAGAAAAACTTACTGAGGAACCAGGTGTCCGAAGCTTTTCATGCCTCACAAGCTACCTCACAGAAAGTCATCATATGAAATGGTTATAAATAAATAATTGCCTGATGCCTGGTGGCACTATTTTATGATAGTTTTAATATCAGATTTTGACCTATAGCATATTGTTTAAATCTATTTATGCAGGGTGTTGCTGTTTACCAAAGGGAACTTATTATTTCAGATTTTCGGCTGTTTTATCTTAATTAACATCACATATAAAAACTCAGAAGACGTGTAGGTTTACTGTTTTATTGTAATTAAATTTTTTTTTTTTTGCATAGCAACATTTCTTAAAATGCCTATATTTTAGAAAGCTTTTAGTTTGTTTGTCTTTCATATCTGTCTCTCTGCTGTCTTGACTGTGGGCTTCATGAGCAAAGAATATGAAATGTGATGCCCAACGGAACTTCTCACTGCTGCATGGATCAGTTAACACACACACACACACACACACACACACACACACACACACACACGCACACCCCAAATGTTTTCAGTTACTCACAGGTTAAAGTTTAGCTTGTCTGACTAACTCACTTGGCTACTGATTCCATTCGGCTTTGCCTCTTGCTAATTATTGTGAATAAATTCATGGTTTAATGTGCATTTTTCCCTCAAAAGCACCTCTAAAGTAATACTGTTATTTGTGAGGGAAATAGTCATTAAAGAAACAGATGAGAGTTTCAGAACCACAATGTTGTTTCTCTGTCAGCAGCTGCTTTGTTTGCTTTGTCTTCCAGCTTTCCGCGACCCTATGGCAATGGAAAGGGCCAACTTGCTCAACATGGCCAAGCTCAGCATTAAAGGTCTGATTGAGTCGGCTCTCAGCTTCGGACGAACCCTGGACTCTGACTACCCCCCTCTGCAGCAGTTCTTTGTTGTCATGGAGCACTGTCTGAAGCATGGCCTCAAAGGTACAGCAGTCAGTTTTCCAGACGTAGATTAAGCCTCACTGTGGACAAGAGTGTACAGTTAATAGGGGTTCTCCAAAGAGAGTTTTTGGCCTGAAAATGACTGTGGTTTGGCCAAAAAAAGAAATGTGTACATATTTACTTATTGCCCCAAATGTAGTCCATCAGCCAAGACATGTTTGGTGTCTGAAGGTTGCTTCTTTATAGCTAATAAAATAATGGATATATTCCTCTAATTAGCACTGTGTAAACTGCACTGCACATTTGCCTCAAACTGTGCTGAGTTAAGTAAGCTCAAATAGACTTGCTTATGTGGTCTCTGACATTCTGTGACATACTGTCATATATAAAAATGGCCAAAGAACATTGCATAGCTAAAAGGAGTGGCAGTAGCTTGTACTCTTGTATTCTGAATGTTGTCAGTACTTTTAATAAGTAATTTCAGCTCCTGCCCAAGCTTAATCTACACTCTTAAAACATTTTCTTCATAGGTTCTTTAGTAAAGGCAATGGTTCTGTGTATCAGTGTTTCTGAAACCAGTCCATGGTTTTCCTCTCTTCCTATGCATTGCGAGATGGGTTGGAGCTAAAATACAGACTGCCTGGGGGCAGGTTTGAGGACCACTGCTATATAGATTCATGAACACTCAAAGAACCGTTTGAATGCATAGATGGTCTTTGCACGGTCAGTTGGTTATACTCTATGACGAAAAAGAGCTGTACATGGTTCTTCAAAGAACCCTTTTAAAAGAAGCGTTCCACTGTTATGAATCATTAGACCCTTTTTGCTAAGAGTGTATGTCTGGAAACCAGCTCAAAATATTTTCCAATTAGAAATCACTGTTTCCAGCATAATCACTTGTAAAATGAATCACCTGAAATATTGTTAGTCCTAGTTGACGTGTTTCCTCATTATTTTTGGCAGTATACAGATGGTCATGCAAGGAAATCTGCTCTAGATGGGGAAGAACACACATAACACTACAATACACTGTTTGGAGCCCTGACACATGGGTTCTTTTGAAATGATTCACTTGGTAATGTTTACTTGTGATGGTTTGTGTGCATAAGGATTTGGTTCTGTGCTGTTTAGCAAGCATGTTTTTCTTTGGGCTTTAGTAAAGAAGACGTTTCTTGGATACAACAAGTCGTTGTGGGGGCCTCTGGAGATGGTGGAGAAGCTGTGCCCAGAGGCAGGGGAGATTGCAGCTAGCGTTCGTGACTTACCTGGCCTCAAGTATGGATCAAAGCATGCTTACTAATGCCATTGCCATATTATCATGCTTAGTACATTTTAAAGTGACATTGTTTTATTGTTGTCATTCCCTTGTTTCTGACACACATGTGTGAAATAGCTCAGGTTCAGGGCTGTTCACTGAAAAACTGTTGGGCTGGTCAGCCAGCAGCCTTCTGGTGCATTCAGTTCTTACTCACAAGCTCTGCATGTGGAATTCTCTGTTTCAGATAGAGATCTATCTGAGTCTGCTGAGCTTGTTCCCCTGAGGTATCACAGTAAATTAATTTTAAAATAAGAAAGGTACCATATGCACAAATGAAACCTGCGGACATCTGTGGAAAACACCCACCACTCCACTGTCTTTTTCCTGTCGCTGCTCTTCAGAGACACTATAGAACTGAAAGGGGAAGTGCAAATTTCAGTTCAACTTCCCTGACACAAATGAAACCTGCAACAGAAAAAAATGTCATTTTCAAAGCTCTGTGTAGCTCTGGAGCACTGGCACAAAGGGGGACTGGGTTCAAGCTTCACTCTCAGCCTTCTGAAATACTCCTTTTCACCTCTTTTTGTGCAAGTGTGCACGTCAAGCCACCTCGAAGTGATCGTACACAGATGTTTTCCATTGGGCACTCTTATCTCCCAAAACAATCAAATAAATAAAACAAACAATTTGCATGTTGCAAATATCACACTGTTGGTAAGGCTGGCAAGCGAGATACATAGAGAGAGTGGTATGAAAAATACCAATCGATATAATGATGATTAAATGATAATAATAATTATGTAATACTACATTCTGTATCTGTGACATTCTACACTTGAGGCTGGAATATGTAAAGTAAGGGTGGATACTTAATTTTTTTTCATTTACTTTATAACTACTGATGCATACGGGAATTGTGGGGCAATGCCATTCTTAAATTCATGTGCATATCTGCCAACGCTGATACATAAAGTTCTTATAAAATGTAGAAATTAGGACTAAATCCACCTGAATTAATGTTACGGACAAATGTAGCAGTTTTTTGTAGTGGGTTACAAATGCAGTAACATGAATAAAGTGCAGAAATTTTAACGCTCTTCCGGGGTACAATAAGTAAAATTATTAAATAGTGGTTTTAAATATTAGTAAAATCTAAATATCCATTCCAGAGCCCAAAATAAAAGTGATTAGTATTATATTTGTGTTTAAGTCCGGTGTGTTTAGCGCAGAAGTAACTGGATAAAGAGCAAACCTTTGCTGGATGCACCACAAATTCTGTTCCTTACTTCAGTAACACTTCACTCCTGAATGTCTCAGCCTGTTAAAGCACTGTGTTTTACTTGACTGTGGACTATGTGGAAGAACCCTTTTTCACATTGTGTTTGTGTTTGTCTGTCAGGACTCCGCTGGGCAGAGCTCGGGCATGGCTGAGACTGGCACTGATGCAGAAAAGATTAGCAGACTACCTGCGTGTTCTCATCACCAGGAAAGACATATTGAGGTGAGGGACTTTTTTAATCTACATGGTCCAAGATGGGGACACTTGACAATCTGTAATATTAAACTGATCTGCAGTACTTGGGGAAGGGGTTGGAGTTGAGCAGTTGGTTCTCAGTCAAATTCTGCCAGAATCAGTCTTTGCTTTGCATACTGTACATAATCTCTGTCTGCTTCTTGTGCTAGCATATTGTTAATTACCACTGGCAACAATTTTAAAACATTTCCTTGTATTTAGAAAGCAGACAGTTTTGCCTTTGACGCAAAACTCACTCAAAGTAGAAGACACTTGGCAGTTGCTAAATTCTGTCCCAAAATTTGTGACATGAATTCTGTTCATTTATAGCATAGTTGTGTTGACAGAGTATTCACAGACTTTCTGACTGATCATACAGACGACAGAAAACCTTAGGGAAAGTCGAAGTAACAGGAACTGTTTTTTTTATGTGTTGCTCTAGTGTTTAAAATTTGCATAAAGCTTAAATAGAACAGCTTTGGTAAGAGATTATCACAAATCCATCTCATTCTAATTCCTGTATTAAGAGTATGATGGTTGTTGAATTTGTGTTATATAGTGTAGTAAAATTCAGCAACTGCCCCATGGCTTCTGTATGTTTCAATTCAAGAGGTTTTTAGTTCTTTTCTAAATACATGGGAATGCATCAAAACTATCTATGGTAGTCAGTACAGTAAGCTACAGATGCAGCAGATGGAGAGTAGTTTCTCTAACGATTAAGTTCCTATTGTGTAGCCCTTTAACACAGCAACACTCCACCCCCACACTCTCTTCCTTTTATTTGTGTTTTAAAGGATGTGGTAAAGCCAATTTTAAAGGATCAGTTCACATTTCATAAGTTCACTGTCAGCTTTTTTTTGTGTATAGTGATTTCTATGAGAGCTCGGCAGTCATGCTGGAAGAGGAGGGAGCCGTCATCGTTGGTCTCCTGGTGGGACTCAACGTCATCGATGCCAACCTGTGCGTGAAGGGCGAGGACCTGGATACACAAGTACAAAAACTTTTCTTTGATTTTTACACTGTGAGGCCACAATATTAGGACATGTACACTAGGTGAAAATTCAACTTAATGCTGGGATGCTCTTGGCTTTGATTAGGTCCTCTAATACCAGGAGGGGATCAGAGTCTAAATTTAGACTGCTTTACTGTAAACGTACACTGCAAATGTTCTGTTTAGCAGCATGGACAGTTCTAAAGTTCTGTGCTCATATACATGTTAAGCACAATCATACTTTACCACAGCTTATTGGAATTGAATTGAGTAATGAATATGAGCTCAAAGTGCAGACTTTAAGCTTTAACTTGAGGGTATTTACATCCAAATTGGATGAACATTGTAGGTATTACAGCCATCTTCATACGTAGCTCTCCGATTTTTAGAGGCTCAAAAATAATTGGAATAATTGGCCATGGCCAAATTTGTTATTCCCTAATTATTTCACTTACAGGAAAGCAGATAAAAAGGTCTACAGTTGATTTCAAGTGTGGCAGTTGGATTTGGGTTTTCTTGCTGTTAACTCTCAATACAAAGTCCACAGAGCTGTCACTGTCAGGAAAGCAAGCAATCATTAGGCTAAAAAATCAAAACATAGTCATCAGACAGACAGCAAAAATATTGTGTGACCAAATCAATGGTCTGGTACATTCTTAAAAAGAAAGAATGCAGTGGTGAGCTCAAAAAACACAAAAAGGCCCAGAGGACCATGGAAAACAACTGTGGTTGATGACAGAAGAATTCTTTCCGTGGTGAAGGAAAAACCCACAACAGTTGGCCAGATCAAGAACAGCCTCCAGGAGGTAGGTGTATCTGTGTCAAAGTCAACATTCAAGAGGTGTAACCAAAAATGTAAACCGTTTCTAAGCTTCAAAACAGGAAGACCCAATAATGGTTTGCCAAGAATACATCTAAAAATGCCTGTATAGTTCTGGAACAAAATCCTATGGACAGATGATACAAAGATCAACTTGTACAAGGATGATAGGAAAAGAAGAGTATGGATAAGGGACACATGGTAGAGGTAGTGTTTTGGCGTGGACATGCATGGCTGCCAGTGGAACTTGTTCCCTTGTATATATTTGTAAGGTGCCTGCTGACAAAAGCAGCAGAATTCTGTACAGATACAGCCAGGTGCTTTAGAGTTTATTAGATGGCACTTCACAGTGCAGATGGACAATGTCCTTAACCTTACTGTGAAAGCAGCTTTTTTAAGGCAAAGAGCTGGAATGTTCTCCAGTGGAAAACATTCACCTCAGATCAATAGGGCATGCATTTCACTTACTGAAGGCAAAACCGAAGGTAAAACACTCAAAGGACATGCAGAAAGTGAAGACAGCTGCAAAGCCAGCAGAACATCACAAGTGAAGAAACCCAGCGTGTGGTGACTGAAACCAAGTATTAAAAATTACAATTTGGTTATTAGTTTGCCCAGTTACATTTGAGCCCCTAAAAACCGAGGGGCTGTGTATGAAATTGGTTATAATATCTACACCTTTCACTCGATTTGGATGTAAATACCCTAAAATTAAAGCTGAATGTCTTTGAGCTCAGACAGGCAGACAGTTAAAATAATAAACTTTTTCAGTGTTCAGGTATGTATAGATCTGACTGTATAGAATTCAATTGGTGGAGCACTGCTGGCAATGCATATGTGCTTCATAGCAATCCATTTCAGAAAGCTAGCATCAACTTGTAAAGTATATTTTTAGCATTATAAACAGGCCTCTCAGTGTATCTATGTGAAGTAGGAATATATTTAGTTATGTAAAGCTGATGTGGTATTCCAGTTTTATTAAGTTCATATGACGTTTTTGAATCCCTCAGGTTGGGGTGATTGACTTCTCCATGTACTTGAAAAATGACATAGATGACTACAGAACTGAAGAAAGGTAAGAATTTTTTGAAGTAAGCTTCTGAAAAGTGTCTTTTGTGGTTACTGTATTAGCATATAGCCTCCTTTCAGACTGTGGGAAGGGGAACAGAGCTTTACTCTTTTCAGAATATTACATGTGATGTACCTCACACATCTAATTTTATCCTACTTAACTGTTCCTTAAACAGAAATGGACAAATTGCAGCAATATTGGACCAGAAGAACTATGTTGAAGAGTTAAACCGACAGCTCAAGTGAGCATACATTTTTCTCTAACATTTGCATGTAAGAGATGCATGATGGCATTAATTTCTGAATCTATTTTGTACTTCAGGCATTTTTATGTGCCTCAGTGTCTTTAAAGCTACATCTAATACTGTTTCCCTACCTTAGTTCCACTGTTCAGGGTCTGCAGGGACGTGTGGACTCGTTAGAGAAATCCAATTCTAAACTCATTGAGGAGGTACTGTGATTTCCAGGAATCAAGAATGCATATTGTGATCTATACAGGTAGATATGGCATCAGCAATGTTCTTTTTTCTGTAGCTGGCAATAGCAAAAAACAACATCATCAAACTGCAGGAAGAAAACCACCAGCTAAGGACAGAGAACTCAGTAATTCTCATGAAGGCTCAGCAACGCCTTGAGGTAACATTCATCATGATTTGTTTTTTCTACAAACATAGCCAAAAATAGCATATGTTCTTAATTCTTGGCCTTGCTTTAGTAAGAGCTAATTAAATGTATATTTAGCTTTACAGGTAAGTGTCCTTAATGTAATTCAGCTGATTAGGTTGGATTATTCAATTGAATGTAATTTTAGATTTTCCACCATTTAGGTATGGATTTATCAAAGTTAGTCTGAGTCTAACAAATTTTGCTCTTCTGTGTGCAGGTTACAAAGGGAGATGTGAACTGCGAGCTGGACACATATAAGCAGTCCAGGCAGGGCCTGGACGAAATGTACAATGAGGCAAGACGGCAGCTGAGGGAAGAGTGCCAGCTCCGGCAGGTCTGAACTCAGCTGTGCCCAAAAGCGACAGCTGCTTCCTAAATAACCTTTAATTAATTTTTTGCACATTAACGATTTTGAAAATTAAGAGGTCACAACACTGAACCCTTAGGCACACCACATATTGTCTTAACTGTATACAGACAAAAGCCATGATTCAGTATTATGGTATGCACTATGTAAGAGCAAGGGAAGATTTTCTGGAGTTTCTGAATACAGTAGTATTAGAACAACAATGTCCATCAACATTTAATTTATAAATTAAGTAAGTAAAATATATTTGCATTCTAGGATGTGGAGAATGAGTTGGTGGTGCAAGTGAGCATGAAGCAGGAGATGGAACTGGCCATGAAGCTGTTGGAGAAGGACATCCATGAAAAGCAGGATACTTTGATTGGACTTCGGCAACAGCTGGATGAGGTTAAGGCCATAAATGTGGAAATGTACCAAAAAATGCAGGTATCCTTACTACCAGATTCACTTCTTTAAAGCAAAAGACAGTTAAATTGAGTTTCTCCTTTATTGTAACTAACTATACCTAATTTCATTATCATCAACAGTCCTCTGATGATGGCATGAAACAGAAAAATGATATGATTGCACGACTGGAGGAGAAGACCAATCAGATAACGGCTACTATGAGGCAGCTAGAGCAAAGGTGAGTGACATTCAAAATCATATGGAAACATAAGTTGCCTGGTGTAATGCAAAACCATATTCCTGAGGTGCATTCAGATTAGTGCACACAGCAGTAGAAAAGGTTTCTTCCGGTGGACGTAAATCAAGAATACTACAAACCTCAATTTCTAAACAGGTTGGGACAGTATGGGAAATGGAAATAAAAGCAGAAAGCAGTGATTTGTAAATCCACTTTGACTTTGAGTTTGTTTTATCTTCTCTTTTTTTGCGAAGATACGCTCATTCTGAAACTGATGCCTGCAACATGTTCCAAAAAGTTGTGAAAGGGACAGTTTAAGACTAGAACAGCAGTGTGAAATGTTCAAAAACATCTTAAACAGGCGATGCAGTCATGGTTGGGTTTAAAAGGAGCATCTAGGAAAGGCCTAGTTCTTTATAGGATAGGTCGAGCCTTGCCACTTTGCCGAAAAAATCTGTCAACAAATAATCCAGCTGTTAAACAAGCAACGTTACTCAGTTTGTGATTGCAAGGATTTTAGGCATCTCACCCTCTACAGTGCATAATCCACACTGTTACCTGTATAAAGTTCAAAAGCCAGCGTCTGTCTTGGTGTGGGGGTGTATTGGTGCCCATGGTATAGGTAACTTGCACGTCTGTGAAGACACCATTAACGCTGAATGATATATACAGATTCTGGAGCAACATATGCTGTCTTCTAGACATCTGTTTGAGGGATATCGTCCTTATTTCGGCATGAGAACGTTAAGCCACGTTGTGTTCCAACGGTGTGGCTGCATAATTAGAGAGTGCGGGTGCTTGACTGGCCTGCCTGCAGTCCAGACCTGTTTCCCATTGAAAATATGGGGCACCTAATAAAATGCAAAATGCGACAGTGAAGGCCATGTATGTTTGCACAGCTCAAGACTTGTAAAATGAAATAATGGCAAAAAAAAAACACTTTCAAAACTGGACCAATTGGTCTTTAGTTTTTAGATGATTATTTAGTGATGTTAAAGAGAAAGGTGGCAACAAATTAGTGTATATTTACATTTGTTATAAAAACAATCTACTAATGAATGCCTTCTGTTTTTATTAGTATTTCACATACTGTTCAAATTTTTTAGGAATTGAAGATTGTAATACCCCACTTCAGTGTCTCAGCATTGATTTTACCTTAGTGGGATGTTTATAGAGGTTTTTATTGCCAGCCCTGAGAAGTGTTATTGTATGTTTCTGTGAATGTTTGTTGCAAAAAAAATGAAACCAGGATTTGTATATAGTCTATCAACTGCTAGTCTGAATGCACCTGTGGAAATGTGTGTGTTTTAGGTTCGCATTGAATACTGTCAGCATAAGCCTAATGGGACTTGACCTATGAGGCTCCAGTATTTTGCTTATTGGCCAGGCTAGCATGCACAGCGTTTTGCATGTTGTGTGACTTGAAGATGTACTGAATGACTTTATTTCACCTGGCCGCTCATGCGTTAGTGTTTTGTGTTTATTGGGTTGTGTGACGTGGTGCTGTCAGGCTCGTTCATGTCTCTGTCCACACTCACCATCCCTCCCTTTCTTCTCCGTTGATTTACTGCCATCTTATTTGTGATAATTTTAACAAGTGCATTGCTTAACAATTTTTCAAAGCTTTGGATGAAATTCACTGATGTTTACATCCTCTTTCCCTTTTTGTTCTTCCCTTTTTTCTTTTCTTTTCCTCATCCTCTGCCCTGTGTTAACACAACCATTTTCCCCCTCACTGTGATATTGAAATCTTTCACTGCATTCAATAAAATCAGCGATAAAGACCTGCTCAGCCAAACACGAACTCTTGCCATGTCATTTGTAAAATGTGCCAGTACAGATACGGAACATCAGTACAAACTCGTCAAAGATATTTCCTTCTGATATTAAGATAAAGTTCCTGTTTGTCATGTAACACAAGGTGTTTGGGAATATGCAATGTCGTGAAAGTAATGGGTTTGGCTGTTCTATATTAGCCTATTTTTAGGTTTTGTTTAATAGTGGTTATTGTTTTTTTCCACATATTGTTTAGTGATTCCAGCAAAGTTCTCTCTCATGGTACTGTAATATGGTATACATATGACTGTACAACTTTAACAAGAGAAAACAATGAATATGCTGTGTCTTTTATCCAGATCATCAATAAATTTAGGTGTTTTAAAATATTCCTAAACATGTATTGGACGATTTCTTTACATTTTCAGTGGTACTTATACTTGTTTAACAAGGCTGAACATTACTTTAGTAACATTATTCTACGTTCTTATAAGAAAGGATATTTATCCAAATGTTTCAGGCAACAAAAAACAAAATAAACAGTGCCCTTAACTGTGATCTAACCTCTTTTAAATTTTCAGTCTCTTTTCTTTTGTCTGGCTATTTGCGTATTTGTTACCGGTCTATGGTGAGGTAGCTTGCCTGTCGACTCTTAGCCCTCTTTTTATTTTGGCCATTTGTTCCATTCCATTCCCACCCCCTTTCCCTTGTGATCGGAGCCTCAGTTTTACCCAGTTGGTTTGAATTACACCAGATTGCAGGACGCCGAGAGGGACCGTCTGAGCGCTGAGGACGGAATGCGCCGATTCAAGCAGGACTTCGCCAACAAAGCAGACAGCCTCCAAAAGCAGATAGCCCAGAGAGAGAAGCAGATGTAAGTTTAGCAACTTACTTCACTTTTACCCCAGTCAGTTTATTTTCCTTCTTCCTTCTGCTTCTCTTTTTCTGTATTATCAGCAGTGCCTGGTCCTAATTAGAGGCCCTGTCAGAGTTTAGATGACTGGCATTGTTGTTTTATTTTTTGTTTGTTTTTTTTTGTTTTTCCCAAAAAAGTTCAATGCCATTATGATTTGAATTCTTGAACAATTATCGAAGAGGTGAATCTGTGAATAGCTGTTTAAATTGAACCGTTTCCATTTTCTGCAGGTTGCAGCTGGAAACTGACTTGAAAATTGAGAGAGAGTGGAGGCAAACCTTACAGAATGACCTAGAGCGAGAACGAGACACCGTCGCCCAGCTGAGTGCTGAGGCTCAGCAAATTAATGCACTCAAAAAAGTAAATACAACCATTCTTTTGCACTTTTTCTGTTCATCAGTATGATCTGAAGATATGTAGACACGGTTAAGTCTGAGCTAAACCAAACAGAAGGATGCATTCACTTCTGTTACATCTGCACTATAAACTCAAATACCTGTTAATATGCGCTATATAAATGTTTCCCCATGATTGTGAAGGGTAATCATTTGTTTGATGACATACAAATGTACCTATTTAAGCCTGTGTCTCATAGTGATGGTGAAGAAGTTTGAATTGTCTTGCTGTGTTCTCAGGAGTTTCACAGATTGCAGGATGAAAACACGCAGCTGAAGGGGATTTGTGAAGAACAGGAGCAGGCTCTGGAGGAGCTAGGCTGTAAACTCAGCGAGTAGGTTATCCCCTATATCCACCAAATTTATTTACAGATTGATTTATTTATTATAGTTCTGTATAGCTGCTTTTACAGCATGAATTCATTCATGCGATCCATATTTTACCTGTGTGCACGGTTTCTCATGTCAGGTCAAAACTGAAAATTGAGGACATAAAGGAGGCCAATAAAGCTCTTCAGGTATGTGCTGTGCCTACATTTTCTGATTTCATTCATTAAGGAGGTAACACAATGCAAGGTTTAATCTGCCACTGTAACTAATGCAGATGGGATAAACTGTTTGTTACTATTTTAGGGTGGGCAGGTGTGGCTTAAGGACAAAGACGCCACACATTGCAAGCTTTGTGAAAAGGAGTTCTCCATCTCCAGGAGAAAGGTCAGAGCATGAACCACAATTCAGTCACCTAAACGTATATCAGAATATTTAAAAAATGACTTCTCATGAAAAACTTTCCACTAAAGTATGATGATTGTTACAGTGAAGGAGCACTAGTATCGAGACACTTTTGTTTTTGTTATTGAAGACACTTCCAGTGCATATATCCACTTCAAATTTACACACATAATGTTTTGACTTTGTACTGTGTAAATATGAACAAAAATTAAGTATTTATAAGCGTATGAATGGATGGATTTAAAAACACAATTGATGGGGAAATGTATTTAGATACTATATAAAAATATACATACATATAAAGGATAAAAATAAATGAAGTTCTACATATGAATGTTGCAAAAATAAAAATATTCTGGTGCAAATGCAACAAGTAGCAATCATGGTGAAGGTTCAGGAGCTTTCTAAAGTTCTCAGAGACATCACTACTAATCAACTCTCAATTGATTAAACATCCCTGTCTGTTCATCTGGTTTGATAATATGCAGTTGTAAAGTTTATGGAACCACAACTAAGCAGGGCATGCAAGATTTCTCTCAGACTAATAAGGAAGGTAAGAGAAGCCTGCAGTCACTTGAAGAGAGTTGCAGGATGACATGAAATCAGCAGGAACAGCAGTAACACAGAGAACAATGAGCATTGAAGTGCACCGCAGTCATCACTGTTCCTACACCCCACGCAAAAATCCTCTGCTTAAATTAAGCACAGAAGTGCACGTCTAAATTTTGGGACAAAAATAGAACTCTTTGGCAATATTTCAGCTGTTCATGAATGGAGAAAGAAGGGTTGCACATATGATCCCAATAACACCATACCCACAGTGAAGTGCAGAGGTGTGAGCGTCAGGAAATGGTGCTGCTTCTCTGCAGTGGAACTGGGCATTACACATTATTGAAGAAAACACGAATGGAGCCATGTACTGGGATGTGCGCGTGAGAGGAGAATTTGATCTCATCGGCCAAAAAGGGAGAAGATGGGTGCATCAACAAAACAATGACCACAAACATACAGCCAAAATAACTCAAGACTGGGTTTTATAAAGAAGGTGATGGTGCTTGCGTGGCCTGGCCAATCTCCTGACTTGAATTCCGTTGAATATGGAGGATTTTGAAATTGCAAGTGCATCAGAAGGAGCCTCGTAACATTGGGGAATTGAAGGAAGATGAGGAATGGGCTGTAATTGAACCACAATACTGCAAAAAAGTTTATTACATCTTACCGTAGGCATCTTGAAGCTGTAATAAGAAAGATGTAATGAGTAAAATAAAGAAATATGCACCATTTCTGGCACTAATCACATTTAAGCAAATTTGTGAATTGACCATGTTAAGGCCTTTGTACAAAAAGGTTAGGTTTTTTAATTCCTAATCCTTCCATTGAAGCTCGTGCTGAGATGACTCAGGTAGATTCGATCTACCCGTTAGAGGCTTTTGTCACTGTTAATGATCAGAATCAGTGCCAGCTCAAGAGCACACTCATTAGAGCAAATCTGGGACAAACACTAAGAAATTCTGAAGTTCATGTAAATATTTTAAAGATTCTACTTTTACTTCAGATTATTATGCTGATAATGTAATTTGTAAAGAATATGTATTCAATTAGAAAAGAATGCAAAATAGAAGCATTTTCACTTGTAGTCTTTTAGGCCCCACTGTACACGCACTGGAAGAATGTTGAATAACAAAACGTTTCTATTAAAGTTTTCCCTCACTGTATATTAGGATTAACAATTTAAAGCTTTAGATAGTGTTCAGTTTGGTCTGGGTTTGTTACTGATTCTGTTAGTGGTGTATCATCAGAGAAGATACTTAAAATTTAAATAATTATCAGATTTTGTCATAGTTTATAAATCTGTTGAAGTGCTTTCACAATATGATCTCAGACTGACTTTATACCAGACCATGAGATCTGACATTTAGGCTGTTTACTATTTTAGTACCATACTTTTTTAGGGCCACATTTAGTATTGGAGAGATGTATTGGAGATAGTGGATAGTATTGGAGAGATGACTCACAACAGTCATTTTGTGCACTACTGAATGCAGGTTCTTACTAAGACTGACTGTAATGGTCAGTGAGATCTGGGTAAAACGGCCTGCAACATTCAGCAGGTTCAAAGTAAAACTGCCAGTGATGCTCTATTCCTAAAGTGAAGGTTTTCATGGATGGCACACTTTGCAACATGTTCATAATCTTTTTTTTTTTTTTTCTTCCTTTTGCAGCATCACTGTAGGAACTGTGGGGAGATCTTCTGTAATGCCTGCTCGGATAACGAGTTACCACTCCCTGCTTCGCCGAAACCTGTCCGAGTTTGCGACACGTGCCACGCTCTGCTCCTGCAGCGCTGCTCCTCCAACACCACATAAGACACAGATACACACATGCACACACAACTACGTGCTGCCAAAGCGGCCAGTGTTGGCTTTAACTCTGACCACCATTTTTTTTCCTGCATCTTGTCAAGTTAAATGAAAGTGACCAAAATGGCTGCACCTGTTCCTCAGTGTTAGAAGTTTACATTTCTAATGGGGCTTCTTCTGAACTGCCTCAGAACAGCACACGACAAGGTAGCTGTTCAAAATAATGTGAAGTGCCCAAAGAAGGAACTGGGTGTGGTGAACATACTGGGTCATTGGTTTCTGTTGTTTTCTAAAGGCTCAGAAGTGACCATAGATGGCTTATTCATATTTTGAGCACTACAAGTGAGCAGCACTAAAGTGTATTAATATTCCAAATAGGTTAGGTACTTATTTTAGGACAGCATTCCAGGCCTGTACTGTAAGGTTACCTCCAAGGGATGGAGGGCAAACAGTACGTTCTTCATTTACTGTGTCAGAAATGAAATGGTGTATTATGGAAATTGCTGCAGAGATCTTGTTTTAGTTTATTTTGTATTCAAATGAATATGTCCAGGGCCTTTTCACAAGATGACTATGAAGCACTAAAGCTTTTGATGCTGCTTAAATATTATTAAGGTGGATCCATGAAGTAGCACAGTCACGTCTTGTAAATGATTAAGTATTTTCATTGCGTAACAAAGTATTATTTCAAACTATAATGCATAGACAGATATGCCAAGGCATGTTTTTTTAAAGTGCAGAACTGGAACGCTACTCACCGTAAATATTTATGATCTTTATATTGAAGTGTAAACTGTTATTAAACACAGTGGTTAACAAATTGACATTAGGTTTCAAATGTGAAACACACTGTTGAACTGTACACATGCCTTTAACTACTAAAGTTGATAATACTTCCATTTCATATGCTCTCTTTTATTTACTTCCCCCCTCCAAGTGGTCCTAGCCTATAATCTTCTGATAAGAGATCAGTGAGACACTTGAAATTTGGCAGTATTTTAGACATTTTGACAAACTCTATAATCATGTTGCTGCAAGTGCAGGTTTATAAAGTAGATTTATTCCTGATTTTAAAATAATCTTTAAAGCAGCCAATATTTACAGTGCAACAGATTTATTTCCCCCTCCCTGTATGTTTTTGGACTGAATTTTGTTTACATGACCGTAGATCAGGATCATGTAGTATCTTCATCAATAATAGATTATCCATTTAAATGCATCCTTCATAATATTTAACATTTACACTGCTTTGTTAAAATTAGAGGCATTTGTTAAATTAGGTCAGTGTGGACATAGGCAATTTAAGTAACTTAGGCAATTGTGTTCTGAGGACTTTTCATGATCGTCTTGATTTTTCAAGTAATAGAAACATTCCTTCATTTTTTTAAATTTTACATAAACATTTCTGTTTTAATGTAGGTGTGCCTTGTACAGTCCTTCAGAGAAATGCAACATACATCAAATGAAAACGCAAATATTCCCCATCTGTGAAAACAGCAATGTTAAAGGTATCATGTAATCAGAACAAAGGTTTTGCAATGACCTGTAAACACTTAAAAAGTTTATTTTGCAAGGAACATTTTTTTAACTTATAAGAAATGATTCAATTGACAATCATTACTTGAACAGCAAGTCTGCATTTAAAGTGACTAGTCAAGAAAAACAGTTAACAGCCAAAACAATTCATTTGCTGGGGAAAAAGGCTTGCTAATCTTATTCAGTAAAGACGGCAGCCCATCACAGTGACCCTTGAGATTGCAGATCTACATAGATGACAACAGATTTTAAAAAAAGTAACGAGTGAAACAAACACAGGAGAATTTAATATAAAATTTAATAAGCAAAATGTACAGTTGCTGGTCAACCTATATATAATTATTTATATACTTTATACTTTTTAATTCCACTCTCTGAGTCTGGAAAAAAATTCTGCTTAAATTTTATATGAACATGTGATACATCTCAATAGAAAAGATCCTTCTATCAGAAAATTACTTCTTGTAAAATGTTCTCTTCAGAACATGCCCCTCAGTCCACTTCCTCGAGAGCCCATGCCTCCAGAGTTGCCATAGAAACCACCGCCACGACCTGTTTATGATTATATATTATTTTTCTTTTACAATAAAAAGGGCAATTACATTCAAGCTGTTTGAAAGTTACTTTTTGACAATGTATTCAAACTATAAGAAAGTGTCTAAGAACAGTGATACTAACCCATTTCAGATGCTCCACTCGAGGTCGAGTTCAAGAAAAGCTCTATATAACGGTGTTCTGTGGGGGGGGAAATAACATGTTGAGAAAAAATATAAGAAGATGGGGAAAAAAATTTATCATCTCAGAGCAGAGTGCTCTTTGACCAAACCTGATGCAAGGGTCACTACACAGACATGGCTCTGCAACATTAGAACAGGTATGAAACGGGAAGCACGTACGCATGTGGTTCTTGTCTTTTGACATGGCCGATACAGCGTCTTCATGAGATCCAAACTCAACGTCTGCCTCTCCAGTAGGCTTGCCATTGGGACCGACATCAATGTGCACCCGTATCGGATTCAGTGGAGCAAAGAACTGGAACAAAAGGTACAAATAAGGCGAAATGTGTACTATTGAACTAACCATGAGAGGGATTATGAAGGTGACCTTGAGGCACGCCTTACATTGGCTACGTCTGCCTCTGTTGCACGGAAGGGAAGACCTCTCATATGTACAAAGTGTCCACTGTGAAAGCCTGAGCTAGCTTCTCCTGTGCTGTAGCCATGACCTCCCATCCCTCCTCTTCCTCGGTCACCTCTCGCCCGCTCTTCAAACATTCCATTACCAAAGCAGTAGTTGTTGAAGCCATTGTAGTTGTCAAAGCCACCATAACCTGTGGAGCAAAGCCATTCAAAGTTTTTAAAAGCTAATTACCTATAAATGTATGGATGTTTACCTAAACAATCTTTTGTACAATAAATATTAAAGCAACTCATAGGAATGGCAATTTTTCTAAAGAACATGGAAACATTAGACCTACATCAACTTTAGTAAAACTAGGAACTGATGTTTAATGGCAGAGCTGAAATGACCATAGAACTGGAATAAACATAAAAATAGACTTAAATGTCTTTTGCCTGCAAGTTTATACAACCAGAAATTCCTGATAAACAATACACACACATACCACTACTGTAACCACCTCCACTGCGCATCTGGTCCATAACAGCACCCCCCCTTCCAGGTCCAGGACCAAAGAAGCCCCCACGACCCATCATTGGTCTGTCATATGGACTAGGCCTCTGTCCCATCATTCTTCGGGGCACTTCATAGTATGCACGGATTTCATTTCGGCTGCTTTTGAATATCTCTATGTACCTGATTTTGTTTGAAATATAGGTTGTTAGTAACAAACATACGCTTAACTACTGCATTTGTTTCACAGCAACGAGGAGAGCTTACAGTCAATTTTCAGAAACAATGATTTATTTAATTACCACAGAAAACATAAATGACTAAATGTTTAGAAACCAGAGGGAGGGAGGAAAAAGTGCCTACAGTTCTACTCTCACTGCAGTATTTTAGCATGAACAGCTCTTAAAAGATTTTTTGAAGTGCCTCTGTCATAAAAAGGCTCCTCTGAAAATTAGTTCAGCAGTGATTTACCCCACATGATGACAATTATACAGGTTACTCCTGTTTATTTCAACATCTTCCCCCATAACAATGCAATGAGATACATGCCAAGTTTAACAATATGATCATACCATCTTTTTCTAAAGCAGAAAGATGCATGACCCCCAACCCCACATTACAGATAGCATTATCACCCAGCCCAGTCTTGCCGGCCCCACCTGTGCCCTATTCTTTCCTTGTGTTTCCCCAGAGCTTTTTCTGCTATCTCCTTTGAGGCAAACTGCACGAAGGCTTCCCCTGTGCTCCTCCCCTGGTAGTCCATCGGCAATGTAATCCCATTTGGCACGATTTTCAACCCTTTAACCCAAGGACAAATAACCCCACAGGGGGGGACATGTTAAATAGCAACATTCTCATGTGTAGAAAAAAAAAGTCCCCCCAATTTAGTCCCTTACATCATTCCCTATATTAAAAACCCCTAGAGCACACCACTAAAAATATTTTCCTACATCATACGCTAAACGTTTTGGACAAAAACAATAACTTAAAGCAATCTTTGTTGTGGTTGCATCAGGGGATAATCTCTTTTTGACAGACTTAAATGTATTACTCATGATATGTTACGTGAAACTATGTTAGTCACAAGTTAAACTGCCTATGCAAAGATAATGTTCTTACACAATGCATGGGTCAAGCTTAGGTTAATGTTTGACTTCAATGGAAGACAGTACTCTCACAACAAAAAAACTAAAAACCCTCCACAGTTCTAACAACTGCAATTACAGATATCAGCAAACTAACAGTGTATCTTCAATGACTGCACAGGTAAGAAAACATACCTGCAAAGAACTGCACAATTTCCTCTTTACTGCAGCCGAAAGGCAGTCCTCTGAGCCTTAGCATGCAGCCACTACAGCTGTCATAGTCTGTTGGGCCACAGCGTTTCAGCACCCAGTCCATCTCACTGCGGTTCGACTTGAACACTGCACAGTGAGGCACGAGCAGCTGCTTTCATTATTTATGCACTACAATCAAAAAGAGTTCTATGGCACCAAGTAAATATTATTGACATCTTACAACCAGACTATTACCTTCAATATATCGATGGCCCATATATTTACGATCCTTTGCAAGGGCTTTTTTAAAGTCCTCTGCTGTTTTTAGCTCGACAAAAGCCTCTCCACTGGGCCTTCCCTCCTTGGAGAAGGTGAAGCACACCCCGTTCACTTTCCCTACAATGTCACAGTCTGCAAGATGAAAAAAGAGACTGAGATTGTCAGATTGTACACTTTGTCTTCATAGCTTACAGGCTAAAGCAGATGAGAGGCTCGGGTATTTTCACTGTTTCTTCACCTGTTTCAGTAAGAAGTTAGGTAAGTGGACTGGTAATACATGCCCTAAGAGAGTGACTAACAAAAAAACTAAGTAGCTAACTTGGTTTTGAGTTTACCAGAGAAAAACGAGGCCACTTCCTCTTGTGTGCACGACCAAGGTAAACCACGGATGCGTACCACATATCCCTCGTCGTTGTGAGACATCTTTTATCTGTGACTTCAGGACAGCTCCTGAAATAAGGACATACATTAACCTACATGACTTCATGGCAGGTTTAGTGGTACAAATGTCATCAGCATAACATGTTCGGACTGTCTATCTAACTGCAAACACCGGTGGGATTTGTGACATCTGAAGAAATTTAGCAATAAGTTCTGCAAATCTGGTGGCTAACAAATAGTAGCTGCAGTAATGCTAACACCAGTCTTGACAGCTAAGCTTACCCAACTTAGCTAGCTACACAGATAATGTCATATTGCCTACCTTTTCAATGTCGTGTTAAAACTTCCATTTTAAGAGAGCAAACAAGTTTAAGTCCGACTGACCAGGCAAAAACACTCAAAACCGAGCTACCAGTTGACTGTACTTGTTTATCAGAGAGCAGTTAACGAGCCAAAGTTGCTAGATGGCTAGTTGACGTTAGCTACTGCTAGCAAATTAGACCAAAACCCTGTCATGTAAACCAACCACACCAACAAATACGGGTACGTTCGCTAATAACGTTCTTCTAATCCGTCAGCATTTAGTAAACGCGACTAAAAGAGTCACGGACACAAGAACAGGACTATGTACCTGATATGTTTCTCACCGTCAGCTGCCTGTCCTTCGCCTACAGGTAGTTAGCCAGCCAGCTAGCATACACCGAGAACTCAGGGGCACGGTTGCCAGATTCTCCAAAATCCTCATTTGGATTAAAGGGGAATTACACTGATTTTTCAAAATTCAGTGGTTGAAATGTAAAGAAAGTCATTAAGAATGGTTTGATGTAGATGTTGATGCAGAAAACGTACCGACTATGATTTCTATACAGTGGTGGCCTTTTATTCTTTACAGTTGTGGTAACTTAGCCATTTATTTACTAATCAAAACGCATCTACTGAGTTTTATATGCAATGCTGGTTATAGTGAAATAGTGGTAAATCTGAAGGAAAAAAAAGATTTTGCCATTTAGTCTTTTGGGACTATTTTTGCCGTATTTTCTGCCATGCATGTACCTGTCCACCATGAATACATTTTAAAAAAGCTTATCTCAAAACTATTGTAAAATAATGTCTCAGGCATCCATGGCAGCCATGTCATGGTTTTTGAGGTATTATATGCTTTGGAATGCATCTGGTTCCCATCACCACCACTGTGAACAACTCTGAATCTTTCCGTTTCTCTATAATGGAATATTTCATATTAAACCACTCTGAAGGACTTAACTATTTGATTGCCCTTTAAAACCCCAAACCATCAAACATCTCCGTAGATATTAGTTTCAGATTATATTTCAGTGAATGGGGCAACAGGGACACAGGGTAAGAGCACCATGTGCTGTCATAGTAAATGAATAAATCATACCTAAAATCAACACCATGGCAGACTAAATAGTACTAACTAGGAATATGAACACAAGAAAAGTTTAGCTCCAAACCAGAAACATACTATGGGCTATTATCATTGAATTATTAATATGTATTATACAGAAACTACTATAATTTAGTGACTACTGTTTAAATAAGTTACAGACGTAAGTTATGCATTTATGACAGGAACTGAAATGTAGAGAAGCAAAGTGAGGTTAAAGTAAAGGCCATTTAAACCAACCAACACGAACAACACGCACAGGTTGAACCTGTTTGTCGGCTTACATTTCTTTGTCCGAATGCTCACCCTGTACTCGGTGTTCACGTTCAACCCTCTATGTCTGAACTATGTCAGCTTAAAGTTCTGCTAAAATATGGATGTTTCACATGATAAATTACTTTAATAAGTAACTCAGCACCAGTTACTGTACTTGCATGTAGTCACAGGTGGTTCCTGTAAAGATCATATCACACAAGAAGCCACTTCCAGTACTGAAAAGACACTAGGTGATATGCTTTTATGTGGCAATAAAATAAGTTTTGACACAGCCTTGGACAGGTGCTCCTCTGTGGTCATAGTGCCAGCTGAAAGTCAAAGCTGCTTTTACCTCATTAAACTAAAGAAATCCTGGCTGGTTTTACTTACAAGTTGCTACTGGCGTTCCCCTGCGGACGTCTATCCGCTGAGCTGGAACCTGATAAGCACTCAGTGGCCACAGCAATCACTTAGCAACTGTCACTTAGCTACCCTGTTAGCTAGCTAACAAGCTAGCCAGTCTTTCAAACAGTGTCACTGGGCACAGTACAGTACATATGATTTAAAAAATCCAGCAGTTTTTCAGTTTGGACGCACTTACACCCTACATGTCATGACATGTTACTACAGTGCAGACACAACAACAATAGGCACACTTAGTGAGTAACACAGTGTGAAGCAGGTGTGGTAATTTAAAACTTAAATTACTACTTACACTTATAATGTGAATACAATAAGCTGAAAACCAAAATCATAACTTTAACTCTTCTATCATGTAATGTAGTCATTCAGAGTGGTGTGACATGAAATGATGCAGTCAAGAGAAACTTACCGACTAAGATTTCTTCACAGTGGTGGTAACAGGAACCAGGGGTTTCAACGTCTACAACAAAAAAAAAAGTAATTTTATGTGCTATCCAAAACGACCTGTGACGATCTGAGTATTATATGTATTGTTGATAATGGTAAAATAGTGATAAATCTGAAAAAATAAGTTTTCTTTGACAACTACATCACCTGCTTGTACCTCTCTGACCCGGAAGGATAAAAAATACATTTAAGACTAAAACATTACCTTAAAACTATCGTTCTCAGACATCAGACAACATATTTATAATCACATAACAGCTTTTTGTAAGATAACTTTTAGAGGCTTTAAAAACTCTTGATGTCTGGTTCCTATCACCACTGCTGTGACCAATTCTGAGCTTAAAATTGAGCACTTCTCATAATTTCACATCAGACCACTTTAAATGACTTTGTTCATATCTTAATGATACAATTCTGAAGATATTTTGAAAAAAAAACAGCGAAATTCCACTTTAAAGCTCTGTATTAAAATGACAATATGACCTTTAATGTTTTTGTAGTCTGTAACAGAGATTAGCTCCATTCTGATGCCCAAACTTGCCCAGCAGTGTTCGCCACAAAGTAAAAACAAGTCAATCATTTGTCACAGGGACAACATTTGTAAATTGGATGTTAGGTTCTCATTATTGTCTCTTTAATGTAAGGTCTATCATCTTTAGGTCTGCACAATTACACTGGTCATTTATCAGTTTGTAATCTATTAGTAAATACAGTTGATCCAATGTGTTTTTATTGGGCACTGTTTCCCTGTAGATTTTTTTTTTACAAAGGCATGATAACCTCTAATAGGCAAGGAAAAAGTCCCTCAGCTGTTTTTGTATTAAGAGACAGGTTATTCAGAGTGGTTTGATGTAAAATGATCTGTTTTAGAGAAATTTACTGAGACAGAATTGTTCACTCTGTTGGTGATTGGAGCCAGACGTATGAAGAGAATTCCTCTAAAAGCTTTGTAAATGAAAGTTATAACATGAAATGGTCAGGAATACATTACAAAATGTCTGAGACATTGTTTTATGATAGTTCCAAGAACATTTTTAAAAATGAGTTTTTAAGAGGGATACGTGCAGGGTGTTGATATTTCCCAAAGAAAACATTTTTTACTGGACTTATTGCTATTTTATCATTAGCATTACATAAAAATTTAGTAGACCTGTAGGTTCAACTTGTGTTTTTTTTTTAAATACCTTTAGCCAAAAAAAATAAACTGCATGTATAACTGCCACAAATAAATATAAATATAAAAATATATGAACTGGTACCAGGTATCTCATCAGGACTCACCCGACCATAATGACTTTGCTTTGTTTTAGTTCACAAAATATAGTACAGTAGGAAATAAATAATGATGTCTTTCCTATATGTTTATTTTCTCTTGCTGTTCTCTTTCTTCACTGAACCTTAAAAAGTCTCATGTCTGTATAAAAAAAAAAGACTCAGAACTGAAACTAAAAGAAAACCGTATACAGTAGCAGAATGACACTTAGCTAGCCCGGCTAACTGACGGCAAAATATGATAAAACTGAAGAACTTGTTATTCAACTTTTCCGTTCCACCTTTAATGGTGCAGCAGTTACATTCAGGGGCGGCACCATTTAAGGTGGAACTGAAAGTTGGAATAAGAAGAAATTTCAGCCCCGACAAAACAAGCTAGCTAGCTAACATATAGCCCACTATTAATTAGCTCATGATACAACGGTGTATTAACCTTAGCGTGCAGACACGTTATAGGTGAAATATTTAATAATGACGTTAATGTGAAATTTTCTCGCATAAACTAACGCGGACATTAACCAGCCTTGCGTGAACAAATGAGCTTGTCTACCGTTAGTGCTGCTACCTTTAATTAGCTAATACGTCAAAGCTAAAACATTAGTCTATACCATCAGATAACTTGTCTAAGATGTTGTTGAACTGTAAAACACCACAAATGTAAAACGTCCTAGAAGAACATCTGGCTTACTTCTATCATCAGAGAGTCGAGTCCAAAGAGTCGATTCTTCGACTTTAACACGTCTTAGAGGCGGGGCTGACTGTTGGCCAATGACTCTGTTGCTTGGAGTCGACTCTTTTAATTATATGTCTCATATATGATTCTTATTTCAGGATCCGGGACTGTTATCTTTGGCTTTCAGGTGTTCGGTGAACAGTTTGGTGGCTGTTTAGCTGATTTTACATGCCGTCATTTTCTAATTCAGTCTTGCTTATCTATGCGGCCTATCTCAGTTATTTTATTCTAAAAATCACCCTCTCTACCACTGAACTGAAGAAATTTGAAACTCAATAGATTTTTCCATCACAAGGGACTTTTACCCTCACTAATGCTTTTGTAATGTTATCTCAAAAATGCAATTTGCCCTCACTAATGTTTTCTAAACCTGTAGCACTTATCAGCATAGGATGGGAAAGTTCCTTTTCTGGTTGAAAGTCAGTTACACTGAATGCACAAAGTTGCCTGTACAAAGGCCATCTCAGAAATAAGCTGTTATTTTACTAACTACTAACCTGCTTGCCTGCCATGCAACTACAGACAGTAATGTGAGCTGTAGAGAGTTGTTGTTTTTTGTATCAAACTCTTTGTTGCTGTGCCACCACAAATGGCTGGAATGCCGCTTCTTAAAAGCACATTAGCTACAATCCATTGTCATACATCAGAACCAAAAGCCCACAAATCAACACTCCATCGCATTTCAACTCATTAAGCTCATTAAAACTGGTGTTAATATTTTAGTTAGGAATGATAGAATTTTTGTGTACATCCAGATTGGTGTACATGTGTGTTTCTGTACTGAAGATTTCTGTACTATGATTTTAGTAAAAGTAGCATTATTCTGTTGTTCATGATTGATGTGGTCTAAATGTAAACTGTACAATATTGCTTTTATAGGCAAACATTTCAGCTGTTAAGGCCTCAGACTCTACAGATATGCTAAGCACTCAAACTGTGACAACTGTAACCAGCCAGGAAGATGACATGAAGTAGCATTATGTGCTGAAAGGCACCATAGCCATAGAGAAAATGTAGAAATGCTGAAGAGGTTAAAATAAACTATTTATGAGCTA